ACTCATGCGCCTGATTCACAAAACCGAGCACATACATAAACCATAAATACTAACAAAGTCACGAGTCCCTTTGTTTAAAAGTCAAAAAGTTTATTTGGACAGTAATTGCGTGCTTCACCCCTCACTTCTTATATTCATGAAATACAATACGAATTAATTGCACAAAGTTAAATTCAGACCGGAAAAACTTTAAACCTTTTTAAAAATATTTTGGTCCTTAAATAAGCAAGCTAATTAATATAGTATGTATAGTACCTACATAGAGGCATATTTTATTTATTAAAAGAGAACCATTCTCCATTTTCATTTCTTCCAAAACACGCTCCATTTTTTCGTATAAACAAAATACGCCGCCATCAAGAAAACTTTGATATTCCATCAGTTACTATTGTTATCCCAAACTTAATTTGATTCCTTATTTAATATTACAAATACGAAATAAGTGTTTTGTCTGCTTGTCTTTCTTTCAAGTTGCAACGGAGAGTTTATGAGGTACAATTTTTGTATCGGAAATCTAAAGATAGTTAAGTGAGTGGAGAGTGGAAAATAAAAGAATTTTCTGTGTTTTATAAAAAAATTAAAATTTGAACCTTGATGTAATGTGTGCATGTAGTTGTACAAATACTGGACTTGTAAATGAGCAGCCATCGTATTAGGAAATATTGGAAATAGATTTATCGTTTAAATTCACGATATTATTAGTAAAATAGAACACAATAGATAATTATGCCTTGACACGTCCGTAGGTCAATGTCTTGTTGAAAATATTTAGGAGTTGCCAAATACAGGAACCTTTTTGTAAATTATTCGACACTAGGAAGGACAGGGCTTAACAAAACGCAAACTTTAGCACTTCGATTCCTAAAATATTATAATGTAATAAATAGTAGGTACCATTAGGTACCTACGTATTAACGTATTAAGCTAAAAATTCACAAGAACTGTGCTTTCTTGAATGTAAAATGTAGGTAAGTCTTTATAACTGTACCTATAACCAACTTTTTTAAGAGAATAAGGGTAGGTACAAGAGCAAACGAACCACCCGATACGAAGTGACCAACACCGCCTATACACCTGCAACACCAGATGAGTGACCAGTGCGTCTCAATTTATGAAATTGTATATAAAATTATGTTTAAATTACTGTTGAGATATTCAAGTAAAGATTTTCTATTCATAGCTTTGATCTACCTCTTTCAAAAGAAAGAGGTAGATCAAAGCTAAAGTGTTCTCTTTAGGGAACAGAGAGTATAGTTCCCTAAGATCGGAAAAGGAGGATCCTCCGACCAGGCGAGGTGATCGTGCCTGGCGGGCTTTCTGCCCAACAGTTGTTCGTTGGGATTTTCTATCCGTGTTTATTCGCTTGTAAACTTTGCATGTGCGATGTAGGATTCTTGTGACGTCATCCGTTGACATGTGGCATGCGTCGCCACATCACTCCCTCCCAAGACCGGAGGTCGATCCCGCTGAGACGGCTGTCGATGCTTGAGATGAGTGGCGCCAGAGCCAGTGTAGAACGTCCCTAGTTCCAGTGGGTCGGAACCGTGCCGCTGAGTGCCCAGTGAGTCGGGTCAGCGGTGCAGGGTGAAACTCCAGTGAGTCGGAGAGATGAGTTCGCAGTGTCCCACGGTGAGTCGGGGAAGAGATGCTGCGAGGGTAGGTGCGTAGTGGCCGGCATCTGCGTTGACGGGAGGAGGTGTCCTTCAGACCGTGTGCAGAAGTGCTGTGCCTAGACGCTGGTGAGGCCGTAGGGAAGAACCAGGCTGCACAACTTCGTTGCAGGTAATGGTGGTCCCTGATGAGGCCGAGGATGCTGGTTGGCTGCGACTTGGTTACCGCTCAGCGGAGAAGTGATGAATGAGAGGGATGGCGATACGGATGACAGTGCTAATCTGCTCCGTGAAGTGAAGGTTGTTTCCAATCACGTCGGGGTCACCACTTTAGGGAACAGAGAGTATAGTTCCCTAAGATCGGAAAAGGAGGATCCTCCGACCAGGCGAGGTGATCGTGCCTGGCGGGCTTTCTGCCCAACATTTGTTCGTTGGGATTTTCTATCCGTGTTTATTCGCTTGTAAACTTTGCATGTGCGATGTAGGATTCTTGTGACGTCATCCGTTGACATGTGGCATGCGTCGCCACAGATACAGCAAATATTCAGCCTGCCTCTAAAAAAATTGGGAGTGATCACAAAGTCGGGATCCCTGTAACTATAACAAACGTGCAAAGTATAAAAAAATCGAGCGGCCAGCTCTACGGCAATGCCTTTCACCGGGCGGCCATCGTGAAAAGTGACAGTGAGTGGTGACGCGGCGGTGACGACACGACGACGCGACGTGATTACTAACCTGGCAGGTGTAAATGAGACCTGGCCATCTGGATATCTTGGCTGACGACATTCATCTCACGCAAAGCTTTGATTGTGTAATAGATGATCAGTAAGTATTTGTTTAGTAGGTACGCCCACATTTTGCTAATTAGTTCCGTGGTACATAAAACCAAGACTCTTCATCTTACAGGACCAGGATCCGATTTTGAGACCTCATGTAGCTTTGCGTTTGATTTTGAAACCATGAATCATGTCGAACGTCCACATAAGTAGATCTCTTACACAATATAAAGATAATTACTGAAGAAATATAAATTCAAATTTTATTTAGATCAAAAGCTAGGTATGAATATCAAAATAAAAGGAAATAATGGAAATCACGTAGTATTCTAATAAAATTGCGCAATTCGATGTAAACGCGCGCCATCTAGCGTGAGTCATAAGTGAAGCAAACTGCACTCTGGTCTCTACACAAAACTTTTTGCAAAAGGTGCAACTGACAGTGACGTAACATAAAAATCTTTTTGTTTCCAACTTTCTTTTGTTTTTGACATCCAGTAAATATTCGAATGACATTGTAAATACCTTTGGGATATATAATACATATTTGGTTCACAAACACAGCTAATTGACTAGTTAGGTATGTTTTTTTTCTAACTCAAATAATTATCTATTCCATACACCTTTGCTATTTAACCGGCTATACAGATGAACATTTATTGTCGGCGGTGTAGGAAGAAAGAAATGTCCATTAATAAAAGCCCGAACCTCTTCAAAGACGATACATATAATCTGGTCAACTAATCTATCAGAGATTGCAAAGAAGTACTACTTAGTGCCATTCAATTACTTTTTGCCATCGATACTGTTTCCTTGAAACCTCAAAAACTCCAACAAAAGACTCTTTGTGACATCGAATCACGTCAAAAAAGTATTTCAAGAAAAAAGTTCTCATAATAAAGATTTAGGTTTTTTCGGCGCACGATTCAGGTCATAATAGTTAGGTTTTAAATTTGTGATGGGAACAAGGTGAAAATTTCACTCAAACTTCATTCTTTTTGTTCCTCTCAATGCCGTATAAGCTACTAAAATGTGAGACAATGGCGAAACAGCGTTGTGTCTATGTTAATTGCTGACAGTAGGTATAAGTTTTAACAATCGCATTGTAATGAGTATAAGTTATCCTAGAGTAACCTTCTAAGTTTCATAAACAATTGTTGTTATCTAACCATCGAGGTCTGAAACACATTGACCATAGACGAAGCGTAAAAAGGTTAAAAACCAAACGTAACTATAGGTAACTACAGAATCTATATTCAAATTAACTTTCTCCATCAACTTTTGTAAGTGCAACTTAATAAGATAAATAATTCAATATTAATTTGATCTGCATTGAATAATATTTTCAATAATTAGATTTAAATATGAATTATTTTTATAATTAATGTCCCGTCGTCAGATGTTATCTAACGAATGACCATCGAATTATTAATTGGAGAATTAATTACAAAATAAAATATGTTTACGCCTTGTTAATCTGCTAATATTATCGTGTTTTTTAAACAGTGTGGTATCTGTCTATAAATATAAGTGACGTTATATATTTTTTAATAATCTTGTTGGCTGGGTAACATGTAGGTAATGTAAGTTGCATGTAAATTAAAATATTGCCCAAATAGTGCGCGTAGTGCGCTACGTTGGGCGCAGGCGCAGGCGTGAGGCACACGTTCGTATCGCTCGGTGCGCTCGCGCTCTACGTGTCGACCTCCCTTGGCGGCCACAACGTAATGCTTTTATGTATGTATTTATTTAATTTATTCTCCAGCGTGTATGTGTGCGTATGTACTCACATTTGTATAATTTAATATACGACCGTTCTTAATAAATATACTCAACATACTTAGTTTTTTATTTAAATCATGCCCAAACTTGGCTATAGACACACTTAACCATGGTTTAGTTTTAGAAAATAAATGTAAACCAAATTAAACCAGTAACTGCAATCGTTGTGTGCGTTGTAATTGTTTACGCTAAAATACCTAATTACAGAGGTACAGTAAGAAGGCCACGATTTGTTTCATTGTTCTATACAACCTATACATAGATACATACCAAATAGATAACGAATAACATTGGTTTGTTCTGTGTGAAAAAGAGCCTCTAGACAAGGTCGATGTTAGGATGCACTATGATAGCTGGTAATCACCACTAATTCGTTGTATTTTTCATATATTTCATAACACCTGACATTACAATATATTTATATTCGTTAAATATAAAAGACAAACGTAGGAACCTAACTTGAAGGCTACACGTCCACAAATCTCAATAGTACTCCAAGTGCATTACATGTTAGCCTGTAATTTGACTAGCCACAAATAATTTGCACGTTTTGCTACAGTAAATTATAAAAATACAATTATTGTCATTATATTGCTACTTTATAAGTCTTTGCCATTACAAACACAAATGATAAAAGCTCGACTCTAATTTAGCATTAAGAAACGAAGGTCGTCACACATCCATATTTATTTATTAGGTAACTAGGTACGTGGGCCGCACCGGACCTCACGTAACACGCCCATCGCACGGTTTTCGCGACCCAAAAAAAAGTTGCAAACTTCAAAGTTTGACAGCGCGCGAAAATGCAAACTAATGCACAATATGGCGTCGATGAGCAGGCGATGTTGCGCAAATGTGCGAGTGTAAAGAGTTTTGCTCGGTGTATTATTTATTGATTGTTGAAAAACAATGGCGGGCGCTTGCTGGCAGTGAGTCAGTAGGTCAAGGGTGCGCTGGCCTAGTTACGCAGTGCCGCGCGCCGAAATTCGCGGGCTTACCAGTTGCTAACCTCACTCGGTAGGGAGGGGCTAACTTGTGCCTAACGTGGTTAGTATGCGCTCACTTCTATTTGAGTACATATTTCATAAAAGCCATGATGAGCGTTGTTCATTTGATTGATAGAATTAATGTTACCTAACTAACAACGGCTTTGTGTAATTTCTCATTCCGTTTAGTTTCAATAGGTTTAGTAAAGTTCAGAAAGGCAGTCTGAACTTTAATATTCCTGCATTGGTATTTAACACCGTCGCTAATGAATGATTAGGTACCTAACGTATAAATGTAACACATTGAAAATAATTATCAGATTCCGTTCTTGACGATATTATAATTAATTAATGGTTTGGTCAGATTACTTCCTGTAGCATAAACTTTATCAATGATATCTATAGGTATCAACAAGTATGTGCGCGTTATCAAGACAAGACAGATTTAATGACTGGCATCATTATGAACGACTCTTTCGACCTTCATATTAAGTTGATTACATATTTTATTTATATTGTAGTATTTGGGCCAAGCTACATCACTAGCAGGCCGGATCTGGAGCACGCGACACGCCAACCGCTTCTCCTTACATAAACCCAAGTTTAAGGTCGCCTAGATGTTGCCTGTTTGGACAAGTCAAGTGCTCTGAATGCCAGTCACCCACATCACTAGTTATGACAACATACCACCCGCGGCTACGCCACTAGATCGAACTTGTACCTACATTCCAAATTAAGCGCTAGTAGCTACGATCACTATTTGTGGTTTATTGATAAATTAATTTCACGCTATACATCCTTGACTGCCGAGGTCGTGAAAGTAAATTATGAATGAAGTAATATACTCTGATGATTACCAGAATTTATAACACGCAGTTCATTACACATTTAAATATTACTTCCATAACGAACTGTTTCAGCGCCATCTACCGGTGAGTAGAATAACTTTCGCTAACAACATTTCCCTAGCTACAAAGAATTGATTAAACAGTATTGCTGTAGTTACTGCCTTGCAAAAAGATATCAATATTATAAAATACAGAGTTTTCAGGTATTTTAAACATGGATGATCCAGAGAAAAGAATACCAGTGCTGTGTTTAGGACCAAAAGGTTCAGGAAAAACCACATTACTGAAGAAACTGCAAAACGCTGAAGGAATAGATAACACGTACAGCCCCGTACCAACAGTAGGAACAAATATTTACGATGTATATTACATTAACAAACACGGGAAGAAACAAGTGCTTTTCATTAGAGAAGTGGGCGGTGAGATGGCGCCACTGTGGCACAATTACTTGGACGGAGTCGAAAAGGTAAGTTACGTTAGTTGCCAGTGATTTTACTTCTTGTAAGTTAAATATGTATTTGTTAAATAATGTATTATTTACAGATAATTTACGTAGTCGACACATCCAATCTATGTCAAATATCAGCGGCTGCTGTACTACTTTATACTTTGTTAGCTGAACCAAGACTTAAAAGCGCTAAAGTAAGTAGCAGACAATTTTATTTTTCTACTATTTAAGGAAATCGAAAGTTAGTTATAAATCTTATTTCAGTAGGTATAATACTATTGTAATACCTAACTTTATTTATGGCAAAATATTCTTCTTCGTAGAGCTGACTCTACATGATTGAACCCTTTAATGCCTTTTGTCCTGCTACCAGAAATATACACTTTCCACTTAAAAAATCAAGAAATGTTCTCCCCAAAACAATACGTCCTTTTTCATTCTACTGGTTTTGATCCGCACTTTTTTAAATACATAGGTACACTGAAGTCTTTTGTTTTGTTCCCAGTTCATCCTAGTCTTGAGCAAAATGGATGCAGCTTACAGGCAGATGCGCAATGAGGCGCTGCTGATGCTCCAATACGCCAGGCTCAACACAGAGCTATCTAACGCACCCATACTGCTCGAGGCAGCACCCCTCACGGGCGAGGGCATGGACCAACTAAAGGCTGTCCTCTGCGACATCAAGATTGTGAATACTTTTTAATTTAAAATGTAAATAAAAACACGGAATAAAAATTGTTATTTTATTAACTGTTCACTAACTACCTCTATATAACATTTTACAAAGTGGCTGCTACGGTCCCATACAGTAGGAAGTACAGTACAGTACTCGCGCGTCGCCCACGTTCAGGATTCCCGACTGGCCCGCGTGAGGTACTGATAGTGAAATACGTATCATATTGTTATGTTTTCATATGATGCCTAACCTTTCTGAATACCTAACTGACCCATTTAATTGCAGCATCATTTTGGGAATTAGGGCTCCCCTGAAATAATTTTCTTCAGACAAAATGTATAGTAGGTAATCTTCCTTTTACCTTTCAAAACGTTTGACATAAAAGTTGTGAAACGGAACGTAGATGACTTTTGACAGTGACGTTTATTTATTTACTTTCAGGGGTCCGGGCTATAGCTGTAACTTGCAAAAATGTTATAATTTAAATGAAAAGTAAACAGAATGGATACATCGAATTTATGTAGAAGTTGTATGAAAGAAGTGGCTTCGTGGGAGAAAGATAATTTTGATCCGAGAGTGGTGGAAATGTTTTGTTTTTGCACTAATATCGCGGTAAGTAATCGCAAAACGCAAATTGTAATAATTTAGTTTGGTAAACGAATTGATGCTATCTAAAATTAAAAATTGATATACCTATCGAAGAACAAATTAATAGATATAATTTCATACCCACATGAAGGCACTTATCGTATCTACTACTTATGGAGACAAATATTAGACTCATTGAGTGAATTTTATTTGTTTTTAAGTGGAAAAATATTATTTTAATTCATTGTAGGTAACATACCTACCAGAGAAAATAAAAGTTAAGCCTAAATCGGCTAATATTATTCTTCATAAAGTCTGCCATAAGAATACTCACTGTCACTAACCAATTATAATCATTGAAATGAAATTGTTTATTCGTAAACATAGGTTTCGTTAATGATTATTTTCTTCAACCACCTAAACATTTAATCTTACAGATATCAGAAGAAGATAAACTGCCAAAACAGTTCTGCTATGATTGTGCAATCAAAATTGAGTCTGCATTCACCTACATTACGGAAGCTCATAAAGTAGACGCTACCCTGAAGAATATAATTTCAAGAACAAACACTTCCATCATTGTAGAACCAGAGACACAATCCAGGCATATAGATAGTCTCAAACTGACGCTTCCAGATTATAAAATTAGTGCAACCATAGACAGTTATGATGAACACATACTTTTTGATAACATAGAATTGGCGGCCAGTGATAGTCAAATCATTCCGGAGAAAACTTTAGAAGAAATAGAACCAATTCAAAATATTCCTGAGGAAGTTGAAAATGCAGAAGAAAATAATCCAGAAAGTGTGAAAGAGAAGGTGAATGCAGATGAAACTAAGAAGAATATTTGTCCCATTTGTAGGAAAGCTTTTACTTCAAAAACTTGGTTCAACAAGCATATGAAGAAGGAGCACACTGAGAATAAATATGTTTGCCCACAATGCCCTAAAAGTAAGAGTACTCAACACCATAAATATTGTTTACCCAATTACTTTTTTAATAGACCATGTTGACCATTACTTCTTTTATAGACACATAGATTGTAAAACAGTATTCAGTCAAAATCTTGCTCAACTTTATAAGATTTTAATAAAATTACTCCTTTGCCATAATTTTGTCAATTCCAGCATTCTCCAAAGCCTCTCTTTTATCTGATCATACTGCATCACACTCGGACGAGCGCAAGTTCGCTTGTTCTACGTGCGGTAAACGCTTCAAGAGACGCAAGCAGCTCGCGTGTCATGCACGTGCGCACGCTGATATCAGGCCATATGCCTGTGACAAGTGCAGTATGAGGTAAGCTATAGGTACCTACTGGTATCTTTTTTGTAACTTTTAACATTTCTGAGATTCGATCCGACTATCTGAGTGATTCAAGCCGCGTCTATTACGCACAGGAGCCATGCGTGGTCCTCCAAATTGTGGTTTTGTATAAAAATGAAAACGGCCTAAGTAGGTACTAAATGTGTATCTGAACTGGCTAAAATACAATTTTTCTTAAATATATAAAAAGCTACTTCTGAACTGACGTCGTTAAAATGTATCAGAAATCTCTGTTTAAAAAGTGTCTAGAGATAATATCGCGCGACATCTGTGTACAAACAGAATGTCCTTACTCTTGAGTCTTGATAGTTCACTTCAGTGGCGCTAGTGTTGACCTAGCTCTTATCTCTCGATGCAAGCCTCTCGGCAATTGGGCAACAAAGGTCACGCGACCTTGAACTCAAGGTACAAAAAACCTGTAAAATTACCTTGGAACACGACTAGAAACTGCATGTTTATCTTAAGGAAGTAATTTTGCTTGCATATTGTAATGATTTTATCTTTATTTCTAATTAAAGACATTCGTTTTTATTTGTAGGCTAAGTACTTACTTAGGTACCTATGTTTGCTTTTGTTGTGCTTTAAAACGGTATGACTTATTCTTTTTACAATGTTACTTACAAAAATGATATTGAAAACTAAAAACTACATATTTCGACAAGGAACCACGCGATCGTAAAATTTATTTTTACGATAAGATTGACCTTGATACATCCGAGCTAGAAAGGGCCTTGACCTTGGAATAGCTAGTTAAATTGACCTTGACCCAGTTACCCACATTTTCGGGCAACCTTGACCGACATGACATAACGAGGCCGCCATTATATCACCGAAACCATGGCCACGAGCGTTTAGGAACGAAATATTTGGTGTTTTAAACATTACTCATGTAGGATGAGGCCACTAGTCATAGATATTAGGCGCTTTATGGCTTCCTTTAAACAAATACTTATACTCAGGTATTTTAATTAATGTTGCCTATAAACATACCACGTGCGTCAATCATTTAAATTTAAACCTTATACTAATTGACGGAAAGGTCACGTCGCTTGCGTTCTTGACCTGCTCAATAGATAGCGTATTGTTAAAGCCTCATTCCTATTCCAGGTTCAAGATAAAGAGTATATTGAAGTCTCACATGAAGGTACACGACGGGGATAAGCAGTACTTGTGCTACTTCTGTGGGTGGAGCTTTGCACAAGGTGAGAACCACTCATTTTATTATTCCAATATGTTTGGAAAAACCTCAAGATTAATAATAATGAATCAATGTATTTTTTTCAACCTTAAGCTATTTTGGGAAGGATATAAAAAAGTACAAGGTCGATACAGGAGTAGTATTTACATTATTCAGCAACACGAATCAGAAATGTTTTGCGTGATTTATAAAACATGTAACGTGTACCTATCATAAATAGAATTTTAACTCTGGGGTTCATACTCTTGGTACAAACGGGGTCCATTCTATCTCTGTACCAAATTTCATAAAAATCTGTTTAGTAATTATACATACAGATATTCGGAAACTTTCAGATTTATATTTATTTAGTTCATACGGATACTAGAGATTTAACATTTTTTCATTCATTCAACTTGCAGCTGGTAACCTAGAAGTACACATGCGCAAGCACACAGGCGAGAAACCGTTCTGCTGCAATGAGTGCGGGTTCCGTGCCGCCGTGTCCTCCAACCTGCGCCGTCACCAGCGCCAGCATCAGGCTGCCAAGACATACGTCTGCAAGCATTGTAATAAGGGATTCTATGATGCTAGTGGGCTGGTGAGTAAGAGGAACTCTTCTGATGTATTCTCGACTGTATTCTTTTGTTATAAAGTTTAAAATCGACTAAAGATTTTTAGTTTACAATAGATTGATGTTTTTAAAGTATATGCTAGATACATACGGATTTTATCAGTGTAAAATGTTCTTCTTCTTCGCTTTCAGAAATTATTTAGGAAGAGCCGTAAAACTTATGTATGTATGTATGTATGTATGTATGTCCTTTATTTCTCAGTACATGGTGCACACAGATCTTAAAATTAACAGAGTTCCACACATACTACCGTTACCGGTGTAGAAATATAAAATATCATCATGTGTGTGTTGAATACCAATATATTTGACATTTATTTAGCAAAAAATCATGTTGATGCTACTCCCAACAAAATCATCGTCTATAATAAAATTGTTTACTACTTACTCTATTTCACAAACATTTTCAGGCTCGTCATTTACGCACACATACAGGAGAGCTTCCATATCAGTGTCCTGGGTGCGCACGCGCATTCGCTGACAGTTGGAAGCGCAAGACGCATCTCATGCGCGCGCACAGACTCGCCCTGCCCGATATACCGCGGATGCGGCGAGATGGGCGCACTATCAATTGAAAACTTTCTAATTCGACATTTACAAAATATGTAGTTCATCGTTTTTGTCGGGAAAAATGGCAATTTCATAGGTAAACGTTATTTTTAATGGATGTGCAAACTATGTTGATGTAGGTGAGTACGAGTAGGTCACTGTTATAAGACAGATATAAGGCCTAACAGTATTTCTTGTGATAATCCAAACATTATTTATTTCCTAGTTAGTCACAAATAAAATGTTTTTAATTAATTAATTTATACATGACAACATACCAAACACTAGTATATAAGAGAGAAGAATGTAAGTACAACCTAATAATAGAAATAAAAAGCAATAAATATTAAAACATAGTTTAATTATCATATTAAATTCTATACAAGCCAACAGTCAACAATCATATAGGATATACCTGAAATAAAAGCTACTGGAAGTACATACATGTCTACAACACAAGTAGATTAGGGGGAGAATTTTAGTATCTAGATTTTTAAATTAAATATCTAGATTTGAAGCACCAAAACTACTCTAATATTATTGTTGGGAAGGCATACGTACGGAAGAAGTAAGCACACGAATTTATGGCACCGCATACCCTTACTGGATTCATTATAATTATTATAGGTACATAATTTTCCTTACTAAGGGGCTTATTTACCTTACTTGAGCTTAAAATAACACCACACCTATTTTCACACTGGGGAAATGTACATGAATGTACATACATCCAAGTTTTACGAACCAAGTTATTAGCTTCATATAATTAGGGGATGACCTCAGTATCTTTAGTTACACAATCTTCACTCTCAAATGAGTAGGTAATCATCTTTTTTTATATACGTATTTTTTTAACGGGGGAAATCATCGAATGACTGCTCCCGCCTGGGTGACGCGGGAGGGAGTGTCAGACTCTTTCTGACTAAAAACCACCCCGTTTCTTCTCCTGCACGTCGAGCCGGAGCCCCGGTAACCCGTTAAGTTCTCCGCGACTCCGATTTTTATACGTATAGGATGGCGTTTGGCCACCATCTCGCCTGATGGTAAGCGATGATGTGGCCAACGATGGAGCACGCCTACCTATGGGCAACCTAGTTATAGTTCCTATTTCAAGATCGCACGGCCACTGTCAACCACTAAAACATACATATTCTACAATCCACAAATTGATGCCCAATTTAACCATATTAAATCCCCTCATACAACTAACTGCATATATTTTGTTGGTTTTTATGGACCTAATAGACCACTATTATAAAGTGGGTAAGTACAATACAAAGGTTTAATTTTTGCCTATTGAGGTTTGCGAATAAATATTAAGATTTACAAGTGGTAAGAAGACAACAATCTACTTAAAATTGTGTGATAGATTACAATAGTATGTATGAAGTTTCCTATTTATATTGTTACAACAGTTCGGATATATTATTGGTTCTTTGTTTCAAAACATTTCTAGCAATATTCTAGTCGTATTGTATATTTTATAATATTCTTGTCAGTCCCTACACGGTCAAACTGATGGTTTTACCATATTTACCTTTATTTTTAATAGACCTCGTCTTGCGCGTTTACTTAACTCCACTATGTATCATTCTAACGTACGTACTTGTGTCACAACGTCATCTCAATCAATGGATCATCCGTAAATCTATCGTATTTGTCCTTTTAGTATCTGCTCACTCTTGATAATGACAAAGTTGATGTTAATTAAAGCCATTAAATTATTTTCCTCTTTTCATTTGAATTTCACTCGATTTGTTCCATGATTCTGATCATAATATTCCTGTATGTAGTGTATACTATCGGGTTTCAAACAGTGATCTGTACATTCTGCACGATGTTGGACCACTCCACTTTGGAAGGCACGAGGTAGAACGCCGGCGCCACCTTCTGGCCACACGGACACTTGCAACCTACACATATAATTATGAATAATATAGGCACATAAAAGTACAAAAAACAGACCACCTGAAAAAGTTTAAGTCCTCAGTAGACAACATTTAGGACTCAGTATTCAAACTTCAACATAAGTGGCAGACACACAAAAGACCGACAAGGCTTCCTTATTTTGGATACCAAGACTCACTTTGGGTCACTACATAAAAGAAAATGTATACATACCCATAATCCAGCTGAAGGAACCAATCTTATTGAGACACTTGGGGCAGTGCAGCTTGCCCTGCGTGGCGTGAGTGACGTCACGCATCCAAGCCATGGGCTCCACGAACCACATGAGGCGACAGATCTCGGGCAGGTCCGCGCGCGCCGCTATGTTCGAGTCCACCATGTTCATCTCGTTGTACCCGTCTAACGCTTGCCGAGGGTCGTGATCCTAACGAAACAGTAGGTGAATATTTTTTTTACATTTCAGTATGCAATTAACCTGTTAAAATATCATCCCCTAAATTTGTTCATACAAAAGTAGTCTCTAAACATCGGAAATAAGGTCTATAATGTAGTTGGTGGAGAGTGGTCACTGGTGACTGCTTGGAGATAAATGGGTTTGTAAGATTTGGAATAACTTAGTATGCCATGCAAGTTTTCCTTTAGTGACCTCACAGAACATTTCTTTGAATTATTCAAGTGTTTGGGTTTAAATGAAATGATTTATTACAGCAAAAAATCTACTGATTTATTTCTGACAAATATTTTGACAAATAGCTTATCTTTTAATTATGTATAGCGCCAGTATGCATTTCTTTATGAAATGAATTCAGTTATGATAACCTATCTTACACATACCTGACTGGTTCCCTCCTCACTATCACTGGGCTGACTCTGACTCTGGCTCTGACTCTGCCCTGGACTGCTGTCCTCGTATCGTTCCTCACACCGCATATCCATGATCTGTGACGCCAGGGTCTTCAGCTTCTCCAACAGAATCTCTCCGTTCTCCGCACACGTCAGGCCTGTTAACTTGCTTGGTGGCGGACGAATACCTTTATAGTACAAAAAAAATCCAATAATGTTACCCAAAATTTGCATTGAAAAACGCCTGTCGTAAATATATTAGCAAAATCACACTTTAGCAGCACAAAATAGATATTTTTTAGGTAGTTTTTCAGGCTAATTACATAACGAAATACATTAATGCTAATTACATACAATTATACATTAAATAGTAAATTTACAAAGCATTTAAATAGTCGACAACACTGTATTGGAGACTCAGTTGCCAAAAGGAAAAAAAAAGTAAATTTACACAGCATTTAAATACTTTACATTCTTATTATAGCAACTCAGACAGTTGTTACTTATTGCTCAAAAAATTGTAGTAGGCACTGAGCACTAGCTTCTGCCAACGGCTTCGCCCGCTTTCAAGTGGAATTAAAAGTGGCCTACATATATATGTTATTTCAGACCATACTCTACCCCTTTTCTAAACATCATCTTGATCCCTTTAGGCGGTATAAATATACACACTTTAATATATACATAATATAAGTAGGATACAATTTCCTCACCTTTCTTAGCCAATTCCACCTTAACAGGTTTAGGTATATGAGGTATGATATTGCTCTGGTTGGCAACAATACGCCTGCATTTCTTGCAGCGGTACACAATGGGGTCTGGTCGCTCCCTCACTAATCCTGGGTCCGGCTTCACTAGGTCCGCAAACAACTGGGGCAAGATCTTCACTGAAAATTTTACTGTAGATGAATTTGTGAAGAAGTTGGAAGAATTGTTATCATTTATTAACTTAATTTTTTTTAACAGTACCCGAACTTCAGTTTTAAAACCAACTTATTAATTTATAAAGTTAATTACATAGGTACTATTAAATACGCAAAGTATATTATTGCTTCTTCAATTACTACAATGATCCATACTATATCTTTTAAAAAGTAAGAAATCCAACAACATACCTACTTTTTTTATAATCTTAAGTTTTACATACATGGCGAATATTTCACATGGATATCGATATCTAATGAGTGTGATTCCAAATTCTAAACAAGTACTAAGTAATCTAAAATCAAATATCCAAATAATACTTTGGTAACAGAGAAGTAGATATCAAAATTCCTTGGCATGTTTATAAGAAAAAAAAAACTAAGTATAACAGTTGTAGATTGTTCTGAAAATTACCATCAGTTTTCTCTGAAGACCGACTTGGAGGGGGCTTTGGAGGACTTGGAAAGCCTCCTTCATGTAAAAGCAAAACGTTTATATAAACCTATGTCTTGTAGTTTTACCTAAGTCCTATCCTAAGATTGGTTAGGCGATATTATAATAAAAAACTAGTGCTTCATACTACATTTCGCGCTCCACGGAACGGAGTGGCTTTCCTTTTCAGTCAGTAATTTTCTCCCCTCAAAAAGCCAATGATAGTTTGTACATGGATCAACCTTGCTGTCATACCTAAATATTTTAATGCCACACAATGTAGAAATAGAGATATCTCACCTTCCTTTAATTTCTGTCCAGCTAACTTCAACCGAAACTGTTTAAAGCGTGGATCATCTCTGTTGATTGTATAACCCATATGTCCAAATAGTTTCAGTTGGGCTACAAACCCTACGTTCGGGCCCACAAAGCGTCTTTTACTCTTCACTAAGGAAAATGCATCTTCATAACATAATCCATACTTTTCCATGATGTAGCCAATTACTACGGCGGCTGATCGTGACACTCCAAAATGACTGAAAATACAATAAACAATATTGTGAAACAAAGTTTTATAAACTATACTATATATATAAAAATGAATCCCTTTTTCCCTTGGTCACGGCATCACGCGTGAATGGCTGGACCGATTTCACTGTATTTTTTATTATTAGGAGGAGGTTCTTAGAATTTAAAAATGAAAAAACGTCGGAGAAAACGGGATTGTGCGTACGAAAAGGTACACATATATACAAACGTAAAGAAAATATTATTTAACCCGTCTTGTATCATCATTGTTTCACCCGGAATGCAGATCCACATGAGACACAATGTATTTTATATTGTGTCTTATATACCAGCAGACAAGAGGTTAATAACAAAATCAAGAAGTGTCTTGAGCATTAATCTCTACTAGAATACAATTTTAAGAATAGACATTTAGTTTGTACTCCCTGTTTCATATTAGAAACAACACAATTTTGTATACCTCACTGGCTTCTTTAAAACAATTAATAGTCATAGAACTTTTGAGCAATACCAACCAGTGTACAAGAACTATTCCTCCATCTGCAATGGCTTGTTTGATGAAGTTGTTTGTCTCAGGCAGGTGACTTATTAGATCCTCCTTTGGTACATCAGCCACTGAAACCAATGAAGTGTTCATACATTTAGAGATTTCAATTCAATAGCCAAAATAACTAATTAGTGAGGAAGTTAATCCACATCTTGTGTTCCAGGTGTCCATGTGCGATGCAGGTCGCTTATCATTACCACTGTAATATATACCATAATCGTAATACATCGCAATACTGCATGCATCATATTATTTTCTTTGCATATTTCACTAGTTATAAATGTAAGAGGGTCTTATGTCAATTTCATATACAGACATCATGCCAGATTTTATGCTACTGCTAAGAATTACAGTATACTCTCAGAGCAAATAAACTAAACTTACTAAAGAGTACCCTTGCCTGTAGTCACACTTTCAAACACTTGACAAACAACAATAATCCTGTTACCAAACACACTAATACTATAAATGTGAAAGATTGTGAGGTTGAATGTGTGTGTGTGTTTGATAATTTTTTACATCAAAAGGCTAAAGGGATTGAGACGAAATTTAGAACAGGTTTAGATTATGGGCTAGAAGAACACATAGGCTACTTTTTATCCCACAGAAACATGGGCAAAACCACTGGCAGAAGCTAGTGTATAACTTACTTTTAACATAATGGAATACAAGGTTGGCTCTCCCTAGTATAGACCGAGGAAGTGGCACCACATCTATTGTGAGGATGTGTGTGACCTGTAGCTGCTCCAGATATTTGTAGTCTCTTGCACAGGCCAAGTTACCTGCAATGTATAGAACACACAAATTTAGTCAAATAACTGTTAAATTCTTTACTAAAGTAAAAGAAATGTTAAGATTGAAACCCAGTTCTTTTAAAATTTTATGTTTTTAAATATACACAGGTATTTTTGAGTTCATTTGGGAATTGCTATTTTACAGCATAAGACACATAGTTAGTGTTTGTAAAAATAAGTAAACATGTAAATATTAGTTCTGTAGGCTTGTATTGTTTTGTTTGTGTAGTATATCTAGTTATTGAAAAATTAAAGGTTATTTAAATAAAGGATGTACAGCCAACCTAAGTATAATCGTTCGTCGATGAGATCAACACTGATGCCGAAGCAATCATCGGGGCTAAAGTCGTCATCTTCAGCATGGACCTCTACAGCAGCCACTTTATGTCTAGCCATTTATTAGTGTGCTGAAAATCATGAAATCATTGAGTTACCATTATCTTAATAATTCATAACGTCAATCTAACAATTGTTCCTCTACTTTAGAGTAGTTTAAGTGCAACATAACTATAAATAAGGGTCAAAAACACTGAATAGACACACACCTCAAGAAAATCAATACTTGAAAAATCAATACACGTATTCGCGCAAGGCACTGTAACGTCCTCGATTTTGACACTAATATTAAGATAAAGCAACAGAAACTATATAATTACACTTAAATAACGCAGTTTATGTAAGTAAACGTAAAAAAATGAGACTAGTATACGAGGGGCAATATAAGAAATCGCCCGCGAATTTCTTATTTTGACATTTCGTTTGACAGTTGTGTATTTTCATCACTACGTTCCGTTTACTTTTTCAATAAAGCACAATTGTTTACAAAACCTACCTCATTTGATTTTTAACTCAGTTCAAAAAACGAGGTTCTCAGTTTTACCTGTATGTATTTAGTTTGTGCGCCATTATCTCTCGATTGACTGAACTGATGTTCGTGTGGTTTGTGTTTGTTACACTTATGAGAAGGTTTTAGAACTTAGATTGAATAACCGACTTCAAAAAAATGGATGTTGAAGTTGGATTTTTAAACGTAGTTTATAAAAGAATTATTATATTGTCAAATTCAGGTACCTACTTGTTTATCAATTTACAAGTTTTAGTCATATAATATCCATACAGAAAAAGTAACTTCAAAATCTAGGTTAATAACAGCGTAAAAGCAATATACGCATCTAAAGGCTTCCCTTTGCCAAATAACGGTAAACAATCATAGAGAACATTTCTAGACACATTGGACTTTGGCCATTACTTAACAGTTAAGACCCGGGTCCAAAAGTACACTAGGTCATATTACTAAACTACAATACTTCCAAAGAACTCATTAGAAAGGTTAGTGATGTCAGAAAGGACGGACTTTGGAGTCTCCTTGAAATAAATATGTTGTATAAACCTTTACGTAGATACTTAATGACTTCTCGCGCCTTGGATGGGGGAAAGGGAGTGTCAGATCAGACTCTTACTGACTAAAATACACCCCGTTCCTACTTCTGCTCTTCGAGCCGGGGCCCTGGCAACCCGTTAAGTCCTACGCGGCTCCATATGTAGTGGTCTGATGGCTCTTTGGTTCTAAGTGCCACAAAGTGCTGCTGCTGCAATCATAAACAGACTTCTTACAGCTGTAAACAGTCAACAGCTGCTAATCATTTCACTTCACTATATCGGTCATCTATCCTATAATATAAACTAGAGTAGGTCCTAGGTAACTATCGCAACGGGTCAGACTATTAGGTACCTACTGAATTTCTTTTCTATTTTAGCATAAAAAGCCTACTAAAATAAGTAACCTACGATAAAACTGTTTCTGTACCTTCAAACTGGGCCAGCGCCAGGAAAGCTAGGTAAAATCATTAATCGATTAATGAACACTAGCGACAATACTCATTAGTTAACTTAGAGACATGTCAAAACATGGATAGGAGCTGAACGTAACGCATTTCAACATAGAACATACAATATACATATGTATCGAGATGTCAAAACATAACCAAAGTCTGCATTTCCACTTTCATATGCAAACAGCCTTGGACTGTGAGCCTGCGAGCCATGTTACAAGCCACCATATTATAATGTAATCATTTCTTGCAAAATAATCGTACGAGGAAAAACAATTAATATACATACACCTAATTATAACATGTGCGTACATGGATGATTCAGTTTAGATAGTTCAGATAGTTCAGTTTAGTAGTAAAAGTAGGTAGGTTATCATACCAACGATCTTAATTTTTTCCCAAGCAAATAAACCTCTAATTTAGGTTTATTGGCAAAATTGATAAAGTTTTTAAACAGACTCGGGTGAGTGTCACTGTTTTAGAAGGAGCTATCCACTGACGCCACTATAGCAACATTTATGGACAATGCAAATTTCGAAACCGAAACTTAGGTAAACATCAGGATTGGTGTCTAATACAACTAAGTAGAATTCAATTCAATTATGAATGTATCATTTGTAAACAAATAAATAACAGCTAGTAAGGACAGATGCCTATTTATATAATTATTATTTTGTAAGTGAGTAGGTAGTAAAAACGAGTAATTTTGCGTCTGTTGAGAAATGTGTCATAAAACCATTGCTGGTCTTGGCACATATACCTAAGTAATTCGAATCAATTTGACACGACTGGTTACTGTTATTACCTAATCCATGGTTTCGTAAAACAGAGGAAAGTAGAAAAAAGTCCTGTGTGTAACAACAGTGTCCTGATAGGATAGGTGTCCTGTCCTATCAGGACACTGCTGCTGCTACTGCCTACTGTACTACTACTTGGTGTTTCTGTTTATAGGTTAATTAATTGAAAACCGACAAACCTAGAGTACAAGATGACATGAACTTTTGAGGGGATTAACTGTATCCAGGTTATTCCACTTGTTACAACCGTTTCTTCTTCTAATTATAATGAAGGAAATATTATAATGAAGGAAATGCATAAATGAACAGTATCATTCAATTTGAATTATATATTCGATCATCGTCAACCAAAACACTTCAACGACCAAGACAGCTCTTATTTGTTGAATGCTCTTATTGGCAATATGTTTCACAATATGAAAATATTTTTATAATACTATACATTATTATGTATAGCAGGTACCTACAACTGGTTAAGAGAAGCCATACAATGAAAATAATAAGTCACACACATATTGTTAACACCATTGTCTCAGAGATGGTCAATAATATTTGTTATGTTTAATTTGTTTACAAAGAAAATGACAGTTGTTGTAAAACAATGATATTTCACATTGAATTCCGGAGATACTTTGAAGTCAACAATTATTATGTGTAGTACTACAAATAAGTTTATTCAAAAGAATAATATTTTTTTCTCGATTTTAATTTACACAATAAGACTTAGAACATTCATTAAACCTAAGAATCTTCTTTGCTATTAAGTTTCTTAACGTCTACAATAACTACCTACTTTGTAGAGAAGTTTAACGTCATCGTATCTCGTAAGTATCATTAATGACTTCGTATGCAATAAACAAAATAATGATTATATTGACCCAGTTCCACGAAAAACTGATTGCAATTGAAAGCCATAATGCATCAGTGACGAATACACACCGCATTTAATATTTAAGTATCTACTGGAATCCGCAATTCTTAATGCAACAGTTAACAAACGCTACATTGCATAACAGTAAATAAGTGACCGGTAAATAATATTATGTTAAATACCCAAGGCTTCCCTGTAGTCCGCAGAACACGCCAACCCCAGACGCCCAACTCAAACTAGTCGGAAGTGAATTAAGGGAGATGCCATTGACTATCAGTGAACTTCTGCTGGCTGATGATAATAAAGTCATCTACAATCTGCAATAGTTGCATATAGTAATTTCGGAGATCGCCTGATGTGTGATACTACTGCACAGGACAGGACTATTGGTGCTTATAACACTCTTGACTAGGCTTCATAGCCATTGCGAATCGTAAACAGTACTATCAAGAGATAACCAATTGGCAAGTTAACCACTGACCAGACCAATATAGGCAGGTAATCTAAAAAAATATGACTCGAGGAGTAATCGGCGTCTTATGAATAAGACACTAGTGTTTTTTTTTAAGTGGGGTAAATCATCTAATGACTGCTTCCGCCTGGATAAGGCGGGAGGGAGTGTCAGACTCTTACTGACTAAAAACCACCCCGTTCCTTCTCCTGCACGTCGAGCCGGAGCCCCGGTTACCCGTTAGGTTCTCCGCGACAAGACACTAGTGTACACTGTACAGTCAAATCAGAGCATTGTGTATAATATATCCCTGTCCATCCAAAGAACTCAAACCCAACATTTTGTATGTCATGGTTGGTACAATTTCATCAATCAAGGTCGTTCAAAAAGTAAAAATCATGTACAACAATGCCCAATTACGGTGTACAATTAATAAGGCTGTTTTCAGACAACGGGCCATTGCGACGGTGTTTCTTCACCGGTTATTGGGAGCGAATTACGTCACGTGGCTACGTAGTGTGCGCCCGCGCATGGCTCTTTCACTATAACGTAATACAAGGAAAATGTTCTGTGCTATATCGTACGGGGTAGCCTACATTTTGTGGATTAAATTATCGAGCATTAAGTGCTATTGACTAACTTTGAATGAACACTTACAAGTAACTTGTCATCAAGTCTTTAGAATTGCATAAATAAAGCAATGCCTTTCACAACTTTCATAGGATAATCACATCAGCAACATTAATGACTATCTCATTACAGTTTGATTAGGATTATCTCAATAAAATTAATAAGCAATGGAGGTGACATGAGAGAAGTTAATCTAGCGATAGTGTTAGGTAACGCGGCGTGCGCCGGCGCCGGTCGCCCGCGTCGGACGCTGAGAGGCTAGCGTTGGTTAGTGCTACTTCCTATGCTATTTGTCTGCGGTAATTACCGTGTTAGTGTTGTGTGATTATGTGGGACCTACTATTGGTTCACGATTTTTACTAGAAAGTCGTTTAAGCACCAAAATCACAATAGTTTTTACAACAAAGTCTGCAGTTTTGTAATAGCAAATTACCTGTAACAATCTCCATGTTTTAATTTATTTATAATTGTTTTATACCTAAATTCATTCGGCAGTTGAGGCAAGAAAGCTTTCGAACTTGAGTTGTTAAATCTTTAAAGTATATACCTAGCCTTTCGCGTTTCGTCGGTGTCAAAACACGACTCACAGATATCTCGCTCGTATGTATACAATAGTAGCGGTCTCTACAAAGATACAGTGCTAATTACACCCCAACTACTTGGTTGCCGAAAGCTGGTTAGCTAAATTACAGGTCGCGCGCAACGCGTGAGGGATGATGCCGTAACGAAAGAATATCAGAAGACCTACTCTATTCTATATGTATGAGCTAGATTTTCTTAGTCTTGTGTAAAAACGTATTACAGCTACTAATTCCCAGTTCTAACTAAGTTTATTTCGAACAATTTCGATTGAATCCAGTCTACATTCACATTGAGACAGTATTATATATGTAGAACGAATCCGAACTACATCTGCTTTGACGTCACGCCTTACAAAGGCGTACAGTTCTTCAGCAGTTGATAGTAATAAACAAACAATAGGTTAGGCGAGAAAGAGTGTCAGACTCTGACTGACTAAAAATCACCCCGTTCGTACTCTTGCTCCTCAGGAAACCTGGAAATAAAAGTATGAAATACAGAAGT